ATAGTTAAAATATATAGTTGATGTCATAAAATCATGGTTGATTTTAATGTGTTTTCTGATAAACCTAAAACACAATGCAGTGCAAAATTAAAAATACATCATATTGAATTTACATACACTGTCCCTAATTTTTTTAAGTTTTTTTAATTAATTAAAATTTATTTATTTATTTAATTTGGAGTGTAGAGAAAAGCCTTACAAACCATATCCATTATATAAAATTGCAATGTTAAAGTTAAATAACAACGTTCCCTTTACTAGAGACAACAAAAATCCCATATACAGTGGGTACGGAAAGTATTCAGACCCCCTTACATTTTTCACTCTTTGTTATATTGCAGCCATTTGCTAAAATCATTTAAGTTAATTTTTTTTCCTCATTAATGTACACACAGCACCCCATATTGACAGAAAAACACAGAATTGTTGACATTTTTGCAGATTTATTAAAAAAAAAAAACTGAAATATCACATGGTCCTAAGTATTCAGACCCTTTGCTCAGTATTTAGTAGAAACACCCTTTTGATCTAATACAGCCATAAGTCTTTTTGGGAAAGATGCAACAAGTTATTCACACCTGGATTTGGGGATCCTCTGCCATTCCCCCTTGCAGATCCTCTCCAGTTCTGTCAGGTTAGATGGTAAACGTTGGTGGACACCCATTTTTAGGTCTCTCCAGAGATGCTCAATTGGGTTTAAGTCAGGGCCCTGGCTGGGCCATTCAAGAACAGTCACAGAGTTGTTGTATAGTAGGTGGCGATAACGCACCTTAACGTTGGATGCCACCCACCATAAAACATGAAGAAGAAGAAGAGTAATGTTCGCACTGCGCTGTTGTAACTGATCAGCGCCGCGCTGTCAGTTCGGTGGCGCTAGTAAACACGTCCTCTCTGCGCTGTCGAGTCGGCGCGAACACTTTAATACCGCGCTGTTTCGTCCCACATTTGGGTTGTTTGGCTTCCCATACTTTTGTGCTGGTAAAGATGCGACGCGTGCAGAGTAATAGGAAAAACATGCAAGACTTCTCTTAACTTGAGCACCGCGTTTTTAAAATGCCGTTTTAATGTATGAGATGCTGCAAGAGACACGAGCGCAACAGTCAAACGCATCCATGTTTACATAGAAAAAACAATGGAAAAGCAGCGCAATCGAATAAAAAAAACCTGTAAAGGACTACTACTGTATGTCTGATATTTCATGTTTGCATCATGGTGACAGGCTGAAAGCTGCTGTTCATTGTTTTCACAGAACATTTATTATTAATAGTCTACTGGTGTTATACCATCAGAAAGAGCTTTATTACCAAGTATGTTTAAGATTCCTTTACACACACAAGGAATCTGACTTGGTGACAGGAGCTTCCAGTGCAGAAGAAAGTATGGACATAGTGCAAACTAGTGCAGCAGACATAGGCATTACACAGTAGAGATGGAGTATAACACTAATATAAGAAAAACAGAAAATGAAATAATGCACTATCTATAGAAGTAGAAATAAAGAGAAATGTAATTGTTTAAATGGATGTACAGATATATTTACAAGTGTGCAGTTTACAAATGTACTATTTTTGGATTCTATGTATAAAGTCAGTCATTTTGAATTTGAATTACATTGACTGTTGAGAATATTTTGAAGAATTTTCATTGTAGCCTATTATTTCTGAGCATATAACATGCATAAGACAAGTTTGTACAGGATGTAGTTGTAGTTCATGCA